TTGCCTGAGCCTGCGGGTTCAAGACAAACAAAAACAAACCAAAAACAAAATAGCCCTGCAACAAAATAACAAAATAATCACTGGCACCCATCAAGGCACTTTCCATACGCCTGCTCCTGAGTTGGATATGTCTTTCTTCACCGTCACAGTGAGGTTGCTGCAGCACCAAGTATCACAGTCTACATTCTAGTGTGCTGAGCCACAACAAAAGCAGGTGGAGATAAAGGGCTTTCTCCCCACATGCTTCTCTCTTCTCGGGGAGGAAACATTTTCCAGGTGGCCCCCGGCAGACATCAGACGTCCATTTTTATCACATTCACCATGTCAATGTCACAGACAGTCTTTCCTTCAAACAATCCTTGGCAAAGAGGATTGCTGTGACCCAGTCTGAGCCTTTCCTTGGGGCAAATGCCACCTAATCAAAGCCTCCTGGGGGCAAGGAGAGGGATGAACGGGCGGACTTCAGGCAGTGTACAGAGGCTGGGCCCTCTGTCAGGAAGTAGTGGGGTTGGGGGGGTGGTCCACAGCCAGACCTGCTGGGCATAGAGGAAGGGAAAGGGAGGCTTCTCCTGCATGTGAGCGTTCCCACAGAGCTGTTCGGGGAAGTGATGACGACAGGTTGGGACAGGTAGAGCCCAGTCTCAGGTGAAGCAGGGGGGCTCCTGATTCGGGGAGCAGCTGGCGGTGTGACTTGACCTAAATACCGGAGTAGATGTGACACAGATGTGACCCGTGCCACAGGCAAGCAGAAGCTGAGGGGCTTCCGTCTGCCCACCAGAATTGAAATTGAGGCTGCCAATCAGCTGCTGTTGGGATGGGGATTATTCTGGGTTATCCTAGGGGACCCAATGTACTTACGAGGCTCCGTGAAGGTGGGAGAGGGAGGCAAGGAAAGGAACCAGCTGTGGGACAGAGTGAAAAGGACACAGCCTGAAGGTGGTAGCTTTGCAAATGGAGGAGGGGGCAGTGAGCCAGGGGAGGGGCCGGGAGCAGGGGATGGACCTTGAGCCAGGGAAGGCCTTCCCTCTGTCGCTGCACACAGCTAGTGCCCGACAGGCACGGCCTGACAGCCAGGGCCCCAACCACATGTTGCGCAGACCCACGACGCACCTGCTGCCAGGAGCCAGCATCCAACTGACACACAAGGGACTGACAGCAGACCTCGAGGTGTGGCAGCCACAGGGCATTCCCAGTTGTTAGCCAACACCAGCACAGCAAAAGCTGACCCCTACAGTGGTGCAAAGTCAGCTGGGAGTAATTGGTTGGACTCCAGAAAAGCTGATTGCTTCCTAATCCCTAAATCCACACAAGGCTCTGGTGCTTGGACACTGTCAGGGAGACTGAGGTCTCCCCCGCCTTGCAAGGAAATTAGCTCAGTCTTGCTGTTCTGAATACCGTGTCAACGTTTGTAGTCTTCATAGACTTACCATGCAGGAATGTCCCAGATAATATAAGTCTGACATATTTGGGGTTTTTTTTGGCTGTTTTGTTTTTTGAGTTGGGGTCTCGCTTTGTCATCCAGGCTACAGTACAATGGCACCATCATGGCTCAGTACAGCCTCAGCCTCCTGGGCTCACATGATCCTTCCACCTCATTCCCTCAAGTAGCTGGGACTATAGGCATGTGCCCCCATATCCGGCTAATTTTTTTTTTTTTTTGTAGAGATGAGTTCTTGCTATATTGCCTAGGCTGGCCTCAAACTCCTTGCACTCCCAAATGCTGGGATTACAGCTGTGAGCCACTGCACCCAGCCTGGCATTTATTTTCAATGTGGCGATCTATTTTAATGTGTCCAGTCTCCTGCTGGACAGTTGGGCTGTTTCCTGTTTGGACTACTATAAAACTACTAATATTTTTTGGGGGGGCAGCACAGTGAATTTTAGTGTCTTCTGTTTAGAGGAGGCAAGGTCACGCTACTCACTTTTGAAGACACCCCAAAGGTTGTCCAGCACTTTGGCGCAGAAAGGATTTGATCCAATCTCAAGCAGGCTTAAGGTCCAGAAAGGCACGGCGGGGTGAACAGAGAAGTGGTTTGGCAGACTGGTGTGGGCATGAGTTCTTGCTGACTGCAGCAGTTGGTCCTGACTGGACACTAGGGTGGCCGAGGGTGGCCTGAGCCTCAGGCTGGGTACACACTGCCATGGTGGCCCCCACCCGCCTGGTGCTCCAGCTCACAGCAGCAGACCTACAACTGGATCTGTCTCTGGGCTGCACCACGGAGTCACTGGCGTGGACGATGTGTTTGCTGATGTGGATGCTGAAGTCTCCTCACGTGGCCCCTGGGGTGGCCTCAGCCGATTTGGTCTGTCTCATTATGGCCCTCGAGGTGCAGATCACACCATACCTTCCCAGACCATGGCCACCGCAGCCAGAGCTCAGGTAGCTGATGAGGACTGGGTGGAGGGGCTCCCCGCAGGTCCTAGTGGCATCCAGGATGCTCTGCCACCTTCAGCATCTCCATTTCCACCAGCTCCAAGCCCCGCCTCTCAACCCCTGCACCACAGTCCCAACTTGCTTCACCCCTGCAGGGTATTGTCCAGACAGGAACTCTTCCCCCTCCCTTGAGGGGCAGTCTCCAGCCAAGGCTGGTCTCAGAGGGTATGCAAATTCCCAGTAATGAGTCACAGGATGCAGGTGACCAAGCACAGCTGAAAGCCATGTAGTTAGTACTTTTTTTTTTTTTTTTGAGTTGGAGTCTCACTGTCACCCAGACTGGAGTGCCGTGGCACGCTCCCAGCCACCGCAGCCTCGACCTGCTGGGCTCCAGCGATCCTTCCGCCTCAGCCTTCCAAGTAGCTGGAACTACAGGCACGTTCCACCATGCCCGGCTAATTTTCTGATTTATTGTAGAGATGAGGTCTCGCTGTCCAGGCAGGTCTCGAACCCACGGGCTCAGGCAATTCACTCACCTCGGCCTCCCAAAGCGTGGGACTATAGGCTGAGCCACCGAGCCGGCTGTAGTTAATACTCTTAACGTAATTGTAAACACCGGATACGAATCTGACTAATTAACTTGCTTGCCTGGAAAACCCGGCATGGATTTCTCACTGCCCTGTTGTCATCAGTGCCTCCCGCAAGTTAGAATAAACCAAAGTCTTTACCTCAGACCTCCTAACATTAGGCACAAGCCCTTTTATATTTGGGGATTACTGTGTGACACCGTGACAGTGCTGCTCCTGAGGCCTGGAAGGTCCTTGAGCTGAGGCGCAGGGACAGGCATGAAGGTGCTGAAGACCAACCTAGAAAATATTATTTTTTTTTGAGTTGGAGTCTCACTCTGTTGCCCAGGCTGGAGTGCAGTGGCGTGTGCATGGCCACCGCAGCCTTGACCTGTTAGGCTCAGTTGATCCTTCCACCTCAGCCTTCCAAGTAGCTGGAACCACAGATGCGTGCCACCCACACCCGGCTAATTTTTTGACTTTTCGTAGAGACGTCTTGAACCCACGGGCTCAGGCAATCCTCTTGCCTCGACCTCCCAAAGTGCTGGGATTACAGGCTTGAGCCACCACACCCGGCCAGAAATGCTCTAAAATTATTATTATTGTTATTTGTGAGTTGGAATCTCACTCCGTCATCCAGTTTGGAGTGCAGTGGCATGCTCATGGCCCCTGCAGCCTCAACCTGCTGGGCTCAGGTGATCCTTCTGCCTCAGCCTTCCAAGTAGCTGAAACTACAGGCACGTGCCACCACACCAGGCTAATTTTTTGGTTTATTGTAGAGATGAGGTCTCACCAAGCTGCCCAGACTGGTCTCCAGTCCGTGGGCTCAGGCAGTTCTCTCACCTCGGCCTCCCTAAGTGCTGGGATTGTAAGTGTGAACCACCATGTCCAGCTAGAATATTCTTTTTTTTTTTGGCCCCACAGAATATTCTTGACTGTCAAGATGACATGTAATCACAGGTGCTGCTGGACCCTTCCCCCAAAACCTACTACAAGCCAGAAGAAACATGGGTCCCAGCAACTGAAAGCCACCAATGTCATAGATTGTGTGTATGATCCACCATGACATCCCAGGGAGGTGAAAGTACTTTTGCCTGGGCACAGGGCACAGGGCAGGCCACAGTAGGCTCAGAAAGGACACTGTGAGCCGGGCTTGGTGGCTCAGCCTGTAATCCCGCGCCTTTGTGAGGCTGAGGTGAGTGGATTGCCTGAGCCCGCGGGTTGGAGACCTGCCTGAGCAACTTGGTGAGACCTCATCTCTATAATAAATAAAACAAAAATTAGCTGGGTGTGGTAGCACGTGCCTGTAGTTCCAACTACTTGGAAGGCTGAGGCGGAAGGATCGCCAGAGCCCAGCAGGTCGAGGCTGCGGTGGCCGGGAGCGGCCACTGCACTCCAGTCTGGGCGACAGAGTGAGACTCCAACTCAAAAAAAAAAAAAAAAGAAAGGACATTGTGTTATGGTCTCAGTAACACTCAGCTGTTCCCCTTGACATCAGTAAATCAAAGGAGCAGGGCTGAGTTCAAATGCAGGGAACAGAGCCAGACTCGAGGTCTTTCTAAAACGGTTCTGCTCACCCCCCAGGCTTTTACAGTCCACTTTTTAGTCCAGAGTTGTAGGTACCTATACATTAGCCACGTGACCACAAGAGCATGGTATAGAACTTAAGTTACAGTTGCATTTTACATGTAGTGGCATTTAGAGTAAAGAAAGTACACAGGCCTAAGACATCATGCATTGCAAAAGTTATGCAAATCACAAGACTTAAGATTACATTAACATTATATGGTTCAAAGAAAGGAAGTAAATAGGGGTTTACACCCCAAGAGTAGTCTACGGTGAAGTCAGGGATCCCCTGAAGCTACGTACTGGGAGTGCAAGGTAGAGAAGAGGATTCTCAGTAATTTCAGGAATGTGCAGGGGCGCTCGAATTCCCGCCACGCCTTCTCTATGGGCTGTGGCAACTTGGAGGGGCATTAATGATGGGTCCCTGTATCAACTGGGGAAGGCTCCACTGTCATCTGCATCCTCCTGGGACGCTCACTGTTCGCCTTTCACCGATGGAACCGGTGGCCACAGTGGCCGATAGTGACCAGGACAAAAGCCCATCTTTTCCGAATAGGTCGGGCGTAGAAGGGTCAGGATTCCGGTGGCGATCAAGGGGGTCCAACCGCAGTCTGCAAGACGCGGCCCGCGAGCTGCAGCGCAGGGGCGGGCCTCCCGGGCGCACACTGCACGGTACTTAGACACGGGGCGCGTGCACGTCTCCGGACCCCAGCTGGGAGCCGGTCCCGGCGGACGCAGCTGAGCATCGGCGCTCGCTCCTGGGCCCGCCCGGGAGCGCCTCTGGGTCACCTTCCCAGCCCCGCGCCTGCGGGAGGAGCACCGCTTCTCCGTGGCACGAGCCG